GAGGCATGGAACTAGAGCAAACAGTTGAGAAACGGGTGTGAAATGCTATTTTCATACCACATTTTACATCTGGAATTTCAACTTTCGCCACCTGTCACGTTTTAGTCAGTTAATTTGACATTTAATCGCTATCTTTACTATGGATAACTTCACGCATTGTGCTCCTTAATCTGTGAAATATAAGCGCCTTAACACGTGGCTTTTTGATCTAGGATAAGATTGAATTATTATTATCCCGCAAGATCCCTTTGTAAATAGCACGTGATTGTGATGCGCTCTTAAGTAATATTTTGACATGGATGGAGTTGTGTTATATCAACTTCTAAAAACAAACAAACCCAAAGTTCTTGATTTTCGCGTAGCTTTGGGATACTCGGAGGACAGATTTAGGGTAAATACTACTAGGGCGGAATGTATACCCCTTGAAAATGCTTATAAATGAGCTTCATGAACCATCAACCCCTGTAAAGCATTAACCAATCAAAATTGAACCACATTTTTGAGGTCGAAAACCATCTTCCCAAGATAGCTATGGACCAGTATGGGAATAGGTGTGCTGAAATCAATCCAAGAACCTTCATCCTCTACTTGGCATAAAGGAAAGTCACAGACACCACCAGACGAATTTCAAAAGTACGTAAGAAATCCCAGAAGCAACCTTAGTTCTAGTGTTAAAAAAGAGGAAAAATCACATGCTCGTGTCATGTCTTTTCAAGTGGCAATGGTGCTGTTGTATTTAAAGCCAGAAAAAAAATTGCACACTTCTAGGCTCCTTTTACCTGTCATTAATCAACCCGAAGGTCTAATTTCTTAAATTGTTATCTATCTCTTTACGAAAAGTCGTGTATTTTATCAAAATTTATTGATTTGATGTCAATATAAGTCAATTACCACTTTCCCTTATCTTCCAGTTGATTCATCAAATCTTTCAAGAGGAGAATATTACCCATGATATTTGGCAAACCAGCAGAGATGGCAAACATTTTGTAGTAAGTTAAATTTAAATAAATTTTCTTATGCGCATTTTTGTTATTGATCTAATTTGAAACTACAGTATCCATAACGCGTTCTTACTAAACTCCCTTCCATTGCATGAATCGTTGAAACTGAGTCCACTGGGTTTGAACATTAACCCACTACTGAGTGCCTGAATCAATCGGAGTAATCACATGTTATGGTTAGAGGCCATAAGTGACCGAGTTTGTTTGATTGAGTACAGGGCGTGACAATATCTATAAAAGCTCATGAAAATTTGCAAGATTTCGAAGTATCTTTCAGAATATCTTTTCTTTAGGTGGAATTCCCTGTCCTTAGTCGAGGCTTTGCGGAAAAGATATTAGATCGACTCTCCTACTACAATGTAGGCAAGACGGAGGATTCAAATATCATGTACGTCAGTACCCATATATTCAACTCAACTGTGATGTGCTCCTCAAAATTTGGGGGCTAATTATCCTGTTTTATTGACAATATCTAGGATTATCGATCCTGCAGCTGTGGTTTACAAACGACCAAAGTGAGTCTTGTCCTTGAAGAAAAAATCGATACAATATTGTTATTTTTTGGGAGGGGGGGATTTTAATTTTGACGTATGTTTCATTTCAGAGCCAACGATCCTCACGACATTCCAATGAAGCATTTCCAGAAATTTGTCAATTCCCTTAAATCCCGACTTACTGTTGCTCAAGTAAGTGTCATCATATCTTGACCCTAATATATTGTTACGTGTTGAAATTATCGCGAAAAGTGATAATCTTGATGTGACAGCTCATTAAC